ACTTCAGCTGACTTCCCAGGAGGATGGTGGGATTTTGTTCAGTTGAAGTGCATTGGAATTGAATTTGAGCCAATTCCCTCCCTGTTGTGTCTCCAATGAAGGCAGTGCAGTTACGCAAAGTCAGTTTGGCCCCATATTGATGACATGTTCTGGCTTGACAAGAGACATGCTCATATATTCATACAATGAGAGCCTGATACCAATAAGAGTTTTGTCACTGATTTAAATGGGAACAGAACTGGGCCTTAAATGAGTGGCAACTGTTGAAATTAAGGTGACATTTATAAATTATTTTATTAATAATCCCTAAAGGATGAATAGAAATTGCTTTTTCACTAATAGATTATCTAAGGGACAGATTACATGATGTAGAGACCCTTCTATATAAGTGATTTATGTTCTATATTCCCAGTCTATCAGAGGTTTAAAACAGATGCTATAAAATCATCTGTCTGTCTCTACAACATGCCCTAGCACATATAAGAATGATTTACTTGGAGAAAAGCAATTTCTGTTCATTATCCATGAATTATCTTAAAGTACGTGTACATGTCACCTTAATTTCACATTGTTATATGATTTAGTGCCTTCTTTTGCAGGCTAAATTTATTTTTATGGACCTTATTTGCTTCAAATTAGCCCTGAACCTGGCCTGAAGTAGTATCCTCTCTTCCTACTTTTCATTGCTCTTCCTTAGACTCTGCTGGCAAATTTTGAGACCTAAACACAGAAAATACCTTTAATAATAATTTAACCCCCACCCCAACATTTTCTTCTTTTAATTCCAGTCTCATCCTTGTGTATGTCTAAGCGTTCCACAAGAAAATGACATTGTAGTGCAAGCAGAAAGCCCCAAAATGGATATATTAAAAGTGGTCACATTTTCATAGCAACGAGGTCATGGGTCAAATCCAGGACCTTTGTGCAAATGTAGGGGAAATGAGCTTTCCAGTTCCCTGCTATACCTAATAGCTCAGAAGGAATTTGGTAGATTCATCAGCACCTAATTTTGTGTGAACTTGAGACTCAGCCACATTAGTGTTTAAATTGTATTAATTGTTGAAAGGTATGTGCCGGGCCCAGTTTTGAGTGAACCAGGGGCTGTTTCTGGTTTCACATTGAAACTTGGTGGAATTCTGCAGTGTCAACTGTTTTCTCGCTGTGGTTTTGATCAAACTCTGAACTCGAAGGATGAGCCCTGGTGAACTGAAACCACTGGGTTTTGCACAGCCCTGCCATTCCTCAAAGCATTTGTAAGCTCAAAATTACAGATAATAAAATCATGACCTTTATGTTTCCCCAAGTATGGAGGATGCTAGTTAGTAGCAGAGCTGGCTTCAACCCCTGTCAATGTGCATGGACTCTTGATTATGTAAATTTGGTGGGCAATGTATATTTCTGGGCCTCTTCTCAAACGTTTCCCTCATATGATTCTGTTTTGCTGTTGTAGAATTATTTATGATCTCCCCTTACCTTCTTAAGGAGACAGGTACTGTACAGTTTGTGTAGCAAACAAAAAGCTTTGACAAGATGATATGTTAATGATTTCAAGTTTCAAATAACATAAATGCATCCATGAATAGAAGATCTAAGGGGGAATGGATAGTTATGGAGATTAGTGGTGAATTATGGAGCCTTTCCCCTTTGGTTGCCTCTTTGAATCCAGCCTGGGATGGCATTGACTCTGAGTTACAGCTGATTTTGGGCTCATATAAAATTATTTGGAGATCACAGGTCTAATGAATTCTAAACCAGCTCAGAGTGGCTGTGCTTTGCTCTTGACTCAGATTCTGAGTTTAACAGCATCTGACAAATTGTACCAAGCTCTGCAACGATTTTCTAGACAAGCGTTTAGAAGGGAGCAGACCGAAGAGTACCAGTTTCACTCTGTGTGCTCATGTCTGTGGAGGTGAACGGCTGGTGCTATTCCCATCTGTTCCACCTGGCCCATTTTCAGACATACATAGCAATGATTCTGCCAGAGCTCTGTGATCAATCCTTTGCTTCCTGTGATCTGCTGCAGCTTCTGTGCCGTGACATGTTAATTTTTCTTGGGCATTTGGGGAATTAGTTTGCTAAGGACTGAAAGCACTTTGACTGTTTTGTTTGTTCACAGTAATAATTCTACATAATAGCTATTCAGTGTAGTATAAGCAACTTATATGGTACTTACCCACCTTTGGAAAGCACTTTGAGGGCTACAGATGAAAAGCCCTATATTCTTTATTAATTAGTTGGAGCCGTCTAATCCAGCTCCCTTTGAAGTCAGTGGGAATCTTTCCTTTTGCTTAAGTGAATTGTGGATTAGGCCCTATATAATGTTCCATATTTTGTTTACTATTGTTGCCCCTTTTTGACATGAGAGTTGACGTTTGGGGGCCTGTCAGTGTTAGAACTGAGAGTAGAAAATGATGGTAGTTAGGTATTTCTCTGATGCAGTTTTGTGTATATACAAAGAATGTATGAAGCCCTGTGTCTTGGAACACAGAAGGAATAAAATAGCAAGAAACAGCTTCTTTTGCTCACAGCACCAAGAGTGCTTTGTTTTTGGGGTTTTTTTTAGCCTGCACCTTGACCTGAAAAACCTCTACCCAGGGTCAGTGATGCACATTTAGCTGCTCATTCAGGCTGCCTCTCTCACTCTGTCTGTTCTTGTCTGACCTCAGTTTCAGATCTCTCATCCCGGCATCTTCCCCTATCCAAAAGAATAAATAGTCAAAAGCTCCTCAGCAGGTTCACACACACCTTTTGTCTTAGGTGGTACTTACGCTTACAGTTACGTTAATTGAAGGGTGAGTTCACACCTACCAATCTCAATGGGGTATTAATTCAGCCCATAATGAGGTTTTACCCAGATCAGAACACTATTGTGAAGGTTCTGGAACTATTCCCAAAGATGGGATGGATAGCTATAGTTTTGATGTATTTAGAAAAGAAAAAGAAGTTAAAGAAAGACTTGATACAGGAGTCATCATCTGACCTGTGATTTGTTCCATAGGCTGTTCCAGTTATTCAGCAGTTGAAGGTAAAATAGCTATATATTCTGGCATAGGATTATAGTGTTTGTAGGATTTCCACTTGGCTGAAATACGTAAATATCCTATTATGTGATGCCATGACTCTTGCAGTGCTGCTGCATGTGTTGTATAAATTAGAGATTTGCCTGAATCTAAACCACAGATCAAAATGTTGCTGGAGTTCCAAATCCAGATCTGGTTTAGAATTTTGCAAATGGTCCCAACTGTAAACTGGCCTGAACCAAAACCCTCAGTAGCATTAGTCCCAAATGGTGGGATGTTTGACATCTGAATTTCTAGTACAGGGGTGGCCAGCCTGAGCCTGAGAAGGAGCCAGAATTTATCAATGTACGTTGCCAAAGAGCCACAGTAATACATAAGCAGCCCCCCATCAGCTCCCCTTGCTCCTAGCACCTGCCACGCACTGGCAGCCCCGCCAATCAGCGCCTTCCCCTCCCTCCTGATCAGCTGTTTCGTGGCGTGCAGGAGGCTCGGGGGGGGAGGGGGGAAGGGGAAGGAGCGAGGGCATGGCAGGCTCAGGGGAGGGAGTGGGAAGGGGTGGAGTGGAGGCAGGGCCTGTGGCAGAGCGAGGGGTTGAGCAGTGAGCACCCCCTGTCACATTGGAAAGTTGGCACCTGTAGCTCCAGCCCCGGATTCGGTGCCTATACAAGGGGTTGCATATTCACTTCTGAAGAGCCACATGTGTCTCCGGAGCTACAGTTTGGCCACCCCTGTCTTAGTATAAATGCCCCATTCTCCATTATTATGATTGCCCTTGAAAAGGAGGCTTAGGAGACCTGCCTGAGAAAGTGAGCCTAGTGCTCTGGGTACAGACCTAGGAGCTCCAGTTCTGGCTCTGATGATGGCACCATCTGTAGCCTTAGTAGCCATAGTAAAATGATGTAAAGGTAAACTTTTAAAAGTAAGTTCTTTGATGTTTGGGTGTCCATTTTTACTCCAAGATTTAAAAAAAAAATAGAGGCCAAAAGTTAGATTCCACAGTTCAGCACCGAAATAAAGAGCCTGGGACAAGATTTTGAAAAATGTACCTAAGTAAATGGGTACCTAAGTAAATGGCCAAATTTTCAAAAATGGTAAGCAATCCGGACGTCCCACTGATGTCAGTGGGAGATCTAGGTACTCAGATCTCCCACTAGGTACTCAGCACCTTTTTGTGTCTCAGCTCCCCATCTCTCCAATGAAAATACCAATCTGCACATCCCAGGAATCGTAGGGCTAGTTAATGTTTGGGTTCCAGCGCACTGGAAATTAAGGATGAAATTTCAAAAGCACCTAACTGGGGGAAGTTCCCCATCTTCCATGGGTGTGGTGGGTTCAATGGCAATTGGGCATCTAACCCCTAAAACATTTTTGAAAAGAGCAGTCTAAATTCTGGGGGCTGGGCTAAATGAATACTTAGTTCGTGGCAAGCTGGGGTGTAAATCTATTCTACACTATCCTGCCGCACACTAAGTGTCCTTGTGGACCCTGCTGCTGTGCATTAAAAGTTCCCAAGTGCTCTTTGATCTATCCCGCTTCGAAATGGTAGATTGATGCCCCAGCTTGCTGAGAATTTAGGGTTTCTCTAAACAAACATTAAGTGTTGTTATTTGCCCTGTTCAAGATTCCTACAAGTAGCTCTTCTGATGTATGCTTCACAGAGGGATATGTTTTATTGGGACAGGCCACAATGGGGGAGGTTTACGAAGTTCGGTGACTACTTGCTATTTGTGACTTTGAAAATCTCCCCACAAAAACTAGATCCCTGTGTTAGGAGTGTTTTAAAAAAAAAAAGCACCCTTGAATCAAACAATAATGTTAATGGTTCATTTTGAATATTTCAGCTGGTATTTCTCCCCCCAGCTACTGGACTGAAAGCAGGAGAGAACAGAACCAGATCCTGTAATTGTTCTTTTATGCAAAATTGCTATTTGGCCAAGGGGTTTACAACTGATTGAAATGAATTTTCTTTCCCTTTTGCAGCCTGACGGCACCAGCAAAGAGTGTGTCTTCATTGAAAAAGTCCTAGAAAACAACTACACAGCACTGATGTCTGCGAAATACTCTGGCTGGTACGTTGGATTTACCAAAAAGGGAAGGCCACGAAAGGGGCCCAAGACCCAGGAAAACCAACAAGATGTACACTTTATGAAAAGGTACCCAAAGGGTCAAGTGGAGTTACAGAAACCTTTCAAGTACACCACAGTGACCAAGAGGACTAAGAGAATACGACCTACCAACCCCAGTTAAAAGATAGACAAAAACAGTGTCACAATAATAAACCACAAAAAAACTGCACCAGAGGAATATTTTTACATTAAAAATAAGGAAGAAGCTCTATTTTTGTACATTGTGTTTAAAAAAATAATTAAAATTTTTTTTAAAAAAATAAAAGACTGGATGGCAAATGCTGGGGGAAGCTGTTAGGGATTTATTGTGACTTGAAAAACAAAATGAACTGCTCTATTTAAATTGACTTCTTGTTGTTGACACATAGGTGCTTATTTCTCTTTTTGGAACGGACAACTTTTCAAGCAGATCCCCAGAGGAAAAACAATTAATATTAAATAAAATAAAACCAAAGAAAACCAAAGTTCTTTCCCAAAGTTACTGAGACCCTGCCCCGAAAAATCACCAGTTTTGCAGTAATCTATTTATTGTCTGCTGCAAACTGTCCCGAGACAAGATGGTGTGTGCGGCAGTGATTGAGTTTCCGTGGAGTTCTCAATGCATCGATCTTCTGTAACCTTTCTGATGACATAAGGTGTCACGGCTCTGTGATCCTGCATTATGCTCAGTTCTGGAGAATGCTGCTAAATACATTCAAGTGACTAAAAATGACCTAATACACCAATGATAAGGGAATATTTTAAAACCAGCTATATTATATATATTATATATATATAAGCTATTTATTTCACCTCTCTGTATATTGCAGTTCCATGAACCAAGTATTACTGCCTCAACAATTAAAAAAATTATTTAAAACACATGTAAATATTGCTGTAATTCACACTTTTTGATTATTGCTATGAACTTTTATCCTTATGTCACAGCGATAGCCACTCTGTAGTTAAGGTCAGAACTAGCTTCCCATTATAAGCTTGATTTTCAATCCTCCCCCAGTTTTCCCCAGTAGAAATCAGTCTTTCATGGCATAATGGGCTGAGCACTATGTTGGGAACCAGGAATTCCCAGAGTTCTTCCACCACTGAAACTTTGTCCAGACTAAGATTGAAAGCTGTGTTGTTAGATCTAATGGACACTTTCTAAAACTCTAGTTTTATGCTAATCTGCCCCATAGACTTTGATGTGACCAGTTTAACATATGTTAAAGTACAACTTGTCTTGTCTTGACTAGAGTTTTAGAAGGCATTATTTGTTTCAGGCTAGCCGATATAGTTTAATATCATACCTTTAAACCCTAGAACCTTGACTTTGTTCATGACCTTGTTCATGACCACTTAACATTTCTGGAACCCAGTTTCTCCACATGTAAAATGAGAATACCAACCACTTATCTACCTTACAGGGTGAGTATGAACTAGTTCATGGTTTTGTACTGTTTTTGGACAATGAAAACCCTTATGTAAATGATAAATATTAATGAGAAACATTTAACTGCAGAACAGCATACATCAACTAGGGCTGTCAAGCGATGAAAAAAATTAATCATGATTAATCATCCATTTAAACTATACTAGAATACCATTTATTTAAATATTTTGTATGTTTTCTACATTTTCAAATATATTGATTTCAATTAAAACACAGAATACAAAGTGTACAGTGCTCATTTTATGTTTATTTTTATTAACAATATTTGCACTGTAAAAAACAAAAGAAATAGTATATTTCAATTCACCTAATACAAGTACTATAGTGTGATCTCTTTATTGTGAAAGTTGAACTTACAAATGTAGAATTATGTACAAAAAATAGCTGCATTCAAAAATAAAACAATGTAAAACTAGAGCCTACAAGTCCACTCAGTCCTACTTCTTGTTCAGCCAATTGCTCAGACAAACACATTTGTTTACATTTGCAGGAGATAATGCTGCCCGCTTCTTATTTAAAATGTCTCCTGAAAGTGAGAACAGGTGTTCGCATGGCACCATTGTAGCCGGTATTGCAAGATATTTACATGCCAGATGTGCTAAAGATTCATATTTCCCGTCATGCTTCAACCACCATTCCAGAGGACATGCGTCCATGCTGATGACGGGTTTTGCATGATAACGATCCAAAGCAGTGCAGCCCGATGCATGTTCATGTTCATCATCTGAGTCAGATGATGCCACCAGCAGAAGATTGATTTTCTTTTTTTGGTGGTTTGGGTTCTGTAGTTTCCGTATCATAGTGTTGCTCTTTTAAGACTTCTGAAAGCATGCTCCACGCCTTATTCCTCTCAGATTTTTGAAAGACACTTCAGATTCTTAAACCTTGGGTCGAGTGCTGTAGCTATCTTTAGAAATCTCACACTGGTACCTTCTTTGCGTTTTGTCAAATCTGCAGTAAAAGTGTTCTTAAAACAAACAACATGTGCTGGGTCATCATCCAAGAGTGCTATAACAGGAAATATATGGCAGAATGTGGGTAAAACAGAGCAGGAGACATACAATTCTCCCCAAGGAGTTCAGTCACAAATTTCATGAACACAGTTTTTTTTAACGAGCATCATCAGCATAGAAGCATGTCCTCTGGAATGGTGGTTGAAGCATGACGGGACATATGAATCTGTAGCACATCTGGCACATAAATATCTTGAGACACTGGCTACAGAAGTGCCATATGAATGCCTGTTCTCACTTTCAGGAGACATTTAAAATAAGAAGTGGGCAGCATTATCGCCTGCAAATGTAAACAAACGTGTTTGTCTTAGCAATTGGCTGAACAAGAAGTAGGACTGAGTGGACTTCTAGGCTCTGAAGTTTTACCTTGTTTTGTTTTTAAGTGCAGTTATGTAACAAAAAAAATCTACATTTGTAAGTTGCACTTTCACGATAAAGAGATTGCACTACAGTACTTGCATGAGGTGAATTGAAACATGCTATTTCTTTTATAATTTTTACAATGAAAATATTTATAATAAAATAATAAAAAGTGAGCACTGTACACTTTGTATTCTGCATTGCAATTGAAATCAATATATTTGAAAAGGTAGAAAAACATTCAAAAAATTTAATACATTTCAATTAGTATTTTATTGTTTAACAGTGTGATTAAAACTGCACTTAATCACGATTAATTTTTTTGAGTTAATTGCATGAGTTAACTGCTATTAATTGACAGCCCTAGTATCAACCTGTTCAACTCCTGTCAGAGTAGATGGGAACCATAAATATTAGGATTCCAAGCCAATACTAGTTGATCCAAACCTTTGGCCAAAATCTCAACCAAACCAGAATGACCTGACAACCCATCTTCCAATGAATCTGCTATGCATTGTTGGTAGGACAGTAGGACTTCCAACCCTCAACAGTGCCTACTTTGAAGAGCTTCAAGTCTAAATAGATGAGACAGAAAAAGGGTAGGAAGGGAAGCAGAGAGACAAGGTGATTTGCTCCAGGTCATACAGTAAGTCAGAGCTGGGACTAGAACAGAGGTCTTCTGTCTCCCAATCTACTGCATTGTACAACCAAGCCTGTTGTTTGCATATAACTATGTACTAAGCACCACACAGCTAACAGTTTCTTTACTCTAGCAACTACCTGGGTTTGTACTCCAACCGTTCATGTGTGTTTTGGGGAGGGTGAGAGTCCCATTAAAACAAACAAGTGGGAGCTGGATCTAGGGGTTGCTGCATCAATGTGGGTCCAGCCCACCTGACCAATCCAGCAGCTAGAACTGCCTCGAGGGGTTGAGAGCCCCCTGAAAACCTCACCCCATATCTCTACTAGCAGCAGCTGAAGGCATCTGTGTAGTAGAAGTACATCTCTGCACTGCGGAGGAAAACTGAATCCAGTATTGCCAACCCCAAATGTTCAAAAATCACAAGATTGCCTTAAAATCATTACATTTTTAAAAAGGCTAAATTCAGGCTTCTTTTGTCTTGGTGGTCTGGCGTTGGAACCGTTGGGTTCACAATTCCTGGCTTTTCTTCAGTGCCAAGAGCACTCGAATCTTTCTTTTTTTAAAATGGAAGCTGATATTCTCACGTGTTTCACAGAGCCGCTGGGGCTATCAGCAAATAGCATGAGGCCCGCAAGAGCTGGCAAACCGATGTACATCTGCCAGGAAGAGGAGTTCTGAAGGAAGGCGCTGAAACAGCTTTCTCTGGGGTTGTGCGGGACAGAGCTATTACAGAGGTGAAGTATAGGTGGCAGCAGCACTGGGGCCAGGACTGGAGCTGCTGCTGCCCCATAGCTCTAGCCCACCCCCGGCAGCCTCAGTTTCTGTTGAGGAGGGGAATGAGTCTCTCCCGTGTAGCAGCAGTAGCATACTTGCAGATTGGTCAAAGAGTGTATGTCGGGGTCCTTTTGGATTTGGCGTCAGTTGTTGTTTGTGTGGTGAAGGAGTTGGGGAAGGTTCAGTGGGGTTTTTTGACAAGTGCTGGGTGTAAATTTGCGTGGGTTGGTTTATCCAGGCAGATGGGTAGGATAAACAGAGAATTATAATTGTCTTGTCCTTGAGGCTTGGTCATGTCACCCAGTATTTGGGTTCTGGGGGCAGGGAGGAAACGGATGGGACCCCCACTTCCTAGGAGAAAATCATACGGGGGAAAGTTAAAACCATTTGGAGGCTCTAGTCTTGGGCAGGAGGAATATCTTATGGGGCTGAGAGGATGGGGGGGAGGAGCAGAACTCCATTAGGATAAGGAGTGCCATGATGGGATCTGGAAAGAGGTTTTTAACTCTTTGTATGAGGGTAAAAGGAACTTCAGCACGAACCTCTACCACTTGAGCTAAAGGGCTAGGTTCTTCAGATGGTAGCAGTAGGAGGTGATTAACCATATGGACCAGCCACTAGTGGGGAGGCTGACACACACTTTGCCATTGGCTACAAAGCTATTTGGCAGACAGTAGTGAATTAGGATTCCTGGGTTCTCTTCCTGGCTCTGGGAGGGGAGTGTGGTCTAGTGGTCACAGCACTAATTTAGAACTCCTGGAAGCTATTTGCCTGTTCATAATGGCATGTTAATAATATGCACTTATGTCTAGAAGGTGGGAATGCAGGAGCAGCCTCACTTTACAAACTCTATGGACATGCACATGGACTTGGCATAGTCATGAGTTCTATTCATAGCTCTACCAAAAGTGACCATGGGTAACCTCTCAAATGATCAGTTACCTATCCCTAAAAAGGAGGGAATAATGCTTACCTTTCTCCTACGATACGTTCATGAGGCCTTGTTCAGTAAGAAAGTTTGTGACATACACAGGATTATTAACACCAGTCAGCATAAGAGATGAGACAAAATCTCATAGGTTTCTGCTTCCCAGTCCGGTGCACCTTAGGGCAGAGGGCATTCTGATGGCAGGAGAAAGCAGCAAGAAAATGGAGGTGGAGGAAACACTCCAAAAATTGGGAGCCATAGGAGCTGCTGGCTTCCAAATATTTTTGAAAATCTGGCCAGTGGGGAACACTTAACTAGATCTTCATACTCCTCCTAAGCAGCAATTCTGCTGTAGACATCTGGCTCGCTGCATGTCAGGTTGCTCTGTATTTCTGTACAATCTATGGCAACTGATTTCCTTCTGGGTCAGAGGTTTGCAAACAGCCTTGGCAAACTTGATTAAAACATTCTATTTCCCCACTGGCTTGAGGATTATACCATGGAAGAAAATCTGTGCTTAACATTTCTCTTAACATTTCAGAAATTCTTCCAATGCTCTGTATGTGAGCTGAGGTTCGCTGTGTAGACTGTTACTTTTTAATTTACTTTGTGAATTGTGATGTGAGTACTGCTGTTGAAATAACCTTGATAGGAAAGGCAACCACAAGCCATTTGCTGAAGTAATTGATGACCGTAATGTGCCCAGAGCTTCAGGTGGGCACCTTGTAAATAAATACATTAATTAATTTAATTTAATAATAATAATAATAATAGCATATCACAGGTATTGTTCTGAAGATACTGTTGTATCAATAGCAACATTTTTCTGTCCAGAGTCAGGTAAAGGAATGCAGTGGTGGATGCAATGGTACAAT